GAGTCTCCCTGAGAGAAAGGAGTCACAATGGAATCCTTCAGGTATTTGCTGCATCTGGCTACCCTTATCTTGGAAGATACTGTTGCCTTCACTTTGCTGCTTTGTGCTGGTCTGGAGTGTAGACTTTTCATTATTAGCCACATTGGGGAAATGCAGTTGTTTGCCACTGGAAGTGACATGGCAGATAAAGAAAATTGCCAAGTACAGTAACTTCTTATATGCATCTGGAGCACTATAGGGAAGATTCACACACTAGACAAAATCCTAATCATTCTCTAACACTTTGGCCCTTACAAGAGAAGAAAGCGGAGGAATCTAACTCAAAGCGAGTTAGATGGAAAGTGGGAGATCAAGGTGGCCGCATAGAAAGCTAGAGATTGGGCTGCCAAATTTTCTTGTTCTCGTGTTAGATGAATAAATAGCTGCAAGGACATTGGCCAGTTGAGTACTTTGCGGGGAGGAGAAAGGAGTGGAGTCTTTGAAGTGCTGTCAAAAGTTAATTCCTTGACTTTCTAATACCAATCTCCTTTTTCTTCTCATTACAAATCTAATACTTTTGAAAACATTCAACACTCCTACTTATTTTGAAGGAGCAACCCTCTTAGCATGATGAGAAAGATTAAGGCTTGTATACTCAAAGAGCAGAGGAGGAGATAGATGGTTAACCTTGCTCTTTTGGGTACAGCATGTGAATTTTGCAGTTCTGCAGTACAGGAGATGAGACACTGAGAGCAAAATGAACACAGCGAGTGATCAGTTTTTCTTTGACAGGGTTCAGGGTAATGGCAGGAACAACAAGTCTGCCTGAATTTTGGCTTGGGTCCTATCTCTTCCATAACCTAATTATGTAGACTGGTACAGGTTATTAAGCAGCATATGGGGACCCTTCATTCTTTTAGCCAATTCTAAGACACTGAGAACAGTGTCATTTGGGGCACATAAGTAGAAGAGCGAGAGTGCCAGGAAGCCATTGTCTTTTCTTGCTCCATTTCAAGAATATTCATGCTCTTCTCAGATCTCTAAATAAAGGAAAGAGACAAGGAGATGTGAGTTTGCCAGCTAAGAGGATACCAGACATGAAGCAGTTTATTGTGTTGTCTTCAAGTGTCTGTTTTCACTTTGGTTTGTTGAATGTATATTGTATTAAGGAGGTGCTTGGCACTTAAAGGACCGACATCCCTCTGCTTCAAACTCTGGCTGAATTTAGTCTACACATTTGGCACTATAATTCTTCACTGGGCAATTACATTGTCCTCTGCAACTTTTAAAAAAGAAAATTTTTACCACCTTTTCCAGAAGAAATGTAAGTATGTGTTTAACGTACCCGCCTCCCATCCAAAGTTCCTTTGGGGTTTTTGTGAACAAAAGTGGTTAAGATAGAGGAAACAAAACTTCTCCCATGCTAGGAAACTCACAGTCTGATAACATCCTGGAGATAGGCTACTTTTGAATGTCTGAAGTTGAACTCCCCTCATTCAGAATAAGTTAACAGAACTCTGTCAAGATTAGCTGACAGAATTGCCAAGTTCTGTCAGCTGCCTCTGTTTTCCAGTGCTGAAAGCCTACTTTGCTACTTCACCAGCTCCAGCTCCGCTCTTCACACAGACAATAGGGGGCCAGGCTTGGGAAGCAGTAGGTGAAGGAAAAGAGGGAGGAAGATAAGTGAGTGTGGTTTGAACAGGACTTTGGACTGAATAGATTTAGTAGGAGATGCTTGTGGGTCGGATTCATTTGCAGGGAAACTGGGGTGGTGTAGGAAACCCAGTGGCTTTTTTGGGCACTGGTGTAGAGACACTTGGCCTGAACTGTGTAGTACACCATGCAGCACCACTGTGTGGAGCCGAGGAGGGTTAAGCAGTTGTGTGAAGGGGGGGAGGGGAGTGGATTTCTTGTGTTTTTGCATGGTGCCTCGCATGGTGAGGATGTGGTCCATGACTAGAGCTCCTATGTGTTATGGTAAGAAAACCAATAATAATGATGATGATGATGGGGAGGACACATGGAGAAGAGGAGGGACCTGAGTGTGTGCGTGTGCAGTAGAGAACAAAGCTCCACTTTGATTAGTGGTCTTGCGGGGGAAGGAGTTGTGGGAGGAGGGAGCATATTGAGGTGAGGGTCTGTGGGGAGATATGAGGAGGAGGGTAATCTTGGTCATGCACTGAAGGCAGTGGGAGGAATTGCATTCTGCCAGGGAACTAGGGGAAGGAATATAGTTGGGATGGGAATGAGTAGGGTATATGCTTATGTATCCAACTGAATAACGTTTAGCATTTGTGCAAATTTCTTAAATAGGTACCATCAAACAATATTTTTTTTTTATTTAAACCAGTTACGGTTGCTCAACTGTTCATACTACCAAAAATCTGGAGTCATTCACCAAAGGCCCAGCCTTTGAAATAAACAGTTGTGATTACTTCTTGTCTAGCCACACAGGCTTCTTTCCTTCACAACCTTAAGTCTGACTAGAAAGAATGCTGTCAGAAGGAAACGTTGGATTTCCCCATTACCTCCCCATAATATAATTGCTATAAACTATAACATTACAAATGCAATACAGCCTTCTCTACTTAAAAACATTTCTCTTGATTAATAGTCATTTAATAGAGCACATTTAAACATAACCATCAACTAAAAATCTACCCCATACACACTGAACACCTAACATTTAATTATGACACAAATCTGAATTTTAGACAATTAGAAAAGCTCCATTTTATCTCCTAAACTTGGATGGAGTTATAATCTAAATAAGAAATCATCATAATTTAATCTCACCTTCTATGATTGAGAGCAGCTTCCATTGTGCTAGGTGAGGTACATACTCACAATAAGAGCAAGCCTCTGCCCTGAAGATTTGGCTCTACTGACTCTCTATGGTTATATGGATTTGTTAAATGGGTCATTGACATTCTTCAAAGCATCTGCCATCACGTTAAATGTTAATAAATAGCTGGTAATTACCAAAGTCCTCTTCAAATTAGCATTAAACTATCACAAATTAAATAAAATCTGCTTAACCTCAGAATTACTGCACATTTACCAAGCAGTTAGTTCGAGAGTGGTAAAATAGCTGGCTCCATGCTGACATTTGAAAGATGTGGTGTGTGAGGATCCCAGGCATTTGGCAGTAATTGTCCTGGCATCAGATGCTGTCTGGATGGTCATGCTGTGGAAAAGCTTTCTGTTTGCCTCAGAAATCAGCTGGTGCCACACAGGGAGCGGGAGTGCCATCACATCAGTCTTAAAGCATTCTAGGAAAGCAACAATGAGAGAGGAGCCTTAACTGATGATTGGGTTGCTGTTGGGGAGTGCTTAGAAACTTGATAGGTGCCCTGACTATCTTAACTGTCGAGGAAATGAGTTTACCAGACTCTAGGAGGCTGATTCTATGCTTTATAGTGAAAGGGCACAGAGTACTTTTTGAAGAGCAGGAAGGGGGAAAACATTTGGCCTGACTTGGAAGGTAGGATGCAGCCATGTAGGCTCGAGGGGTTTGCATGTAGAGCAGTGTACACTATTCATCAGTGCAGAAGCCGCCTACCTTTTTTCAAACTTTAATGGGCATTTGTAAACAATTGAAACTTTTAAAAATAATCTAGGGCCATAAGTGGGTTAGTAACAGGCCCACCAATGGTGGGAGAAAGGAGCAATTGCCCTGTGGCCTGGCGATTCAGAGAGGCCTGGGGTTTCAGGCTGCTGCCAAAGCCCTGGACCTTTTAAGTCATTTCTTGAGCTCTGCGCCAGGTGCTTTGTGCAGCTTTGAGGACTGGGGATGGCTTAGCGCTGTGCTCTGGGCAGCTGCCCCCCAGCCCTACCCATTCAGACCAATACCCCATCCCTCTGGGGAGTGCAGAGCTTGCCACCCAACACGTTGCTTGGGGAGCTGCAGAAGTTGTTGGTCCCTCTGGTTAGTAATACAGCGTGCATAGTCTTCACATAGAAGTGAATGAAGGGTCATTTCTATAAGTTCTGGGAACCAAATGCAGATGAGAATAAACCTGTGCAACTCTCTGGGCAGCCATTGGGTCAAATTCAGTGATAATATAAACAGTAGTGTAAATTACAAATTGGCTATAAATTGGTCTATATTGCAAAGTAGTGAAACTTCTACCATTTTGGCATTAACTAGGCATTTTTCTGCTCCCTTACCTTAGATTTATATTGGTATAACTCCATTGACTTCAGTAGAATAATTGAAATTTACATCTGTATAAATGAAATCAGCAGTGTAGTCTGAGGTCTGCAAAATGTGTATAAATCTACATGCCAGAGCATATAAGATGTGATATGGGTGGATAGCCACTTACAGCAGGAAACCTAATTAACAAAAAGAGATAAGATAATGGAGGACTCCATGTTTCAGTGTAATTTGCCTCATCCCTACACTCCCTGACCAGCTGTAGTTGATGTAAACAAGGGCAAACTTTGCTTACTTGGTTTCTCATAGATGCTGAATTTGGTTCCCATAGAATACAAAAACAGTGTAATATAAACTCACTTTCTGTTTGTAATTCTGACCTCATTTATTTCAGGTGTGTAACTTATGCAACCACATAGATCACTGCTGAATTTTGCCTGTTTGTGTGAGCACAGATTTTTCTGTGTGCATACTCACACAAAAATATGAAATTCAAGGGCTTGCTTGTGTGGTCCTTACTAATGAGTAGTCCCATTGGCTTCCATGGGACATCTCCTGAGAGAGTGCTCACTTGTTTCAGTAATGATTACACAGTCCTGGCCTAAGTGGGGATAAAATTCCTCAGTAATCCTTGAATTGGTATTTCCTGCAAGAAGAACTTTAATATTACAGAGCTATACCCTTACAAGTGTGAGATTTGCATGTTGTTTTCACTTCCACCACCAACAGCCATTTAAAAATAGAACTGAGGAATGAAAAATATATAAAAAGTCTGAAAAATCTGATCTGTTGTTACACAGTTATCCGAAACTGAGTAAAAGATGATAAATATTTATTTTCTTCCCTTTCTCCCCCTTCCCAGGCCCTTCCCTCTGTCTGGTCCAATTTCAGTCCTTGGTCACATGCTGACGGTCTCATTGATATTGAGATTGCAGGGGTATAACTATGGGTAAGTTTTGTTCCTCTTTTTATAGGGGAGGTAAATGTGTGTGCTAATCGTAGAAATGATAGAATGATAGAAAAAATATCACATGAATGAAATTCAGGTTTAAGGTATGAGAAGAGCCATGGTAACATTGTTTGCCTAAAGATGTCATCATAGTACAGACATGCTGTATACTTTCTTTAGTTGCTAGAATGACAAAAGAATAGCTTGTTAAATAACATCCGAAAAATGTATTTGCTTGGTAGACTAGCAGCAAATGTACATACAATACAGTAAATGCCAAAGGCAAGGATTCAATTTAATAGTGACTTAAGAACCCTGCAGGAGTTCAGTATTTTGCTTTCCACATCTCATATCTTGGTAAAAGAGAAAAAGATTTGACTTTTATTTAACCTCTAGAAGAAACAGTTCCATTTTACAGAAGATAAGTATGGGTTACCAGTATTTAAAGACTGTACCTGGGCAAACTTTCTAACTATGAAGCTGTATAGCTTTTTCGTGGGGGTGGTGGGAGAGAGGGGGAGGAGGAGGGCAACATTTTAATTGTTACAGTTAATGGACACACTCTCTCTTTCTCCAATGTAACACATTTATTTTCAAACTAAAAAGGTGTGTGGTGCTAATCAGAACAAATAGGAATCCAAAAGCATGTTTACTTTTCCATTTGGGTTTTGAACTCTGAGACTAGTAAATGTTGTTGTCTTTTTTAAGAGCCACATTAATTGACCCAAATTAATCTTTGGTCCAGTTCCAGTGTGGGTGAAGTCTGCGGGTTTGACCAGTAATTAATTCAATTTATGTGTATTAAACATTCAAGGATGATTGGTTTTTTCCCCCCTTAGTCTGATTTTTAGATTAGTTTAAAGCAGGACAGAAATTAAATTGGTTAAAAATCTTTGGCTTGGGGGATTCACACTGCCACCTTTTTCAGTCAAGGTAATTGCCACCAGTACAAGGCTTTCTGTATGTTAATGGTTTGGCCATGATACTCCAGCCTGATCCATGTTGGCAGACACTAGCGGCCACGGGGAGGCCTCAATGAAGTTAGTGCAAAGGTTTGCTTACACGGGTCAACTTGCACAGCTGGGCTTGATTTCAAATGCAGCCTCAGACTCCTAATTGGCCAGTTTTTTAATTCAAATTCATCACTCTGTTTTTCCTGATCTTTTTTAAACTTCCAGGGTATTTGAATGTGAAAAATGGGTAATGTATTTTACTTTCCCTTTCATGTTTGTCTTGCTTCTGCTACTCAAAGTCTATATTTATGCAACGGTGTAATCTGTCCATTAGTTTATGGCTCCAAAGTCTTCTTGGAAGTGTCACAAATTTAGTGTCTCTGAGTGCTAGATTTAGTATTTGAAGCTCAGATTTAGTTTTAAAATCTATAAAATGTCTGTACGCGTAGAGCTCCCAACCAGTTGTGCTTTCTAAGAAGCTCAAGAGCTCAATTATTGTTTCCAGAGTCAACTGTAATTTATGTTTAGTCAAATGGCTCACTATCCATCTTCAAGGGTTACTGTCAACTTGAAAAATCACACTTGCCTGAACATTTTGTACCTAATGTAGTTAAAAGCATAGTTACGCTTCATAACCAAGGCAGGGTTTGAGCTGTAGCCTTAGTCTTAGTGCACATGTTCCGTGGGTTCAATTCTTCACTATCACAGCTTCCTCTAGATTTCCAAGTGGAGGTATCATATCTATGGCAGGGGCTGAGCCAGGAACTCGGTATGGAGAGGGAGTGCCACTCAAAACAAGTTGTGTATTAGGAAAAAGTGGACAAAAAAAAATAATTTGGATGGGGCAGGGGACTTAAATAATAAACAAAGCCAAGTGATATAGAAATCTAGTCAATTAATTAATTAATTAGACGAACTGTGGCTGTGGCCGAATTCTGATACCTTTGCCCAGCTGTCCTAAATGTTGCTTTGTGATGGGGTCAGTGAGCCAGGAGGATGTGAACATGTCTCCAGCTGTGCTGGTGTTACCGCCCTACCTGCGTTCACTTTCAGCAGCCTCTGTTTCCTAAGGTGATGCCACAGTCTTCATCCCCATCCTTGATGCTACCTGCCCATGCACTCTTATCAAAGAGGGGTAGAGCTCTCCTGAGAGCCTCCGCTTCCTGAAATACTCCAGAGTCATCTAGATGCTGGGAGGAGGTGACAGCCAGGAGACCCTGTTTCTCTCCCAATGACTGGGATTACTACAGTTGAAAGGAGTAAAAGAGAGAAGTTTTTTTTTTCCAGGTTTTTTTAAAAATTTTATTTCTGCATGGAGTCACTTTCAGTTTCTTCAGTGTGGTAACTTCGTTGCTGAAAAGAGCCTGCACCCAGGAGGAAGCTGAAAAACATTTTCATTTCTTCTTTTTAAGAAGAAGTAACTGCTGCCCTCTCAAATTATAAGGTGCTTTATCAGAATCAGGATTTCTTAATTTTGACAAGACTTCTTACTTGCTTGAGCAAAGTTAAGTTGATTTTATTGGTGCTATTCAAGATGGCTGCTTATATCAATGGGATGGAGGCAATCTAGCTCATTCTTTTTTGTCTGAAAAAGGTCCATCGTTTCTTGATGTAACTTGTGTTACTTAATGGGAGATTTAAAAAAAAAATCCATTCAAAATCATTTTTCAGCTATTATAACGGAGGGAAGGCTGTTTCAAAAGAAGGGTTCTGGTCTTTAAATGGCGAGGTTCTGGCTTAAGTTGTCACCTGGTGTCAGAATTCCATGGCTCATGGAGGTTCACAGTGAAGCTAGAACACTCTGTTCTCAGTTCTGTGACATGCAGTCTTGGGCATCATTACATGTGTCATCCCATCCCTGCTAGCAGAGCATTGTTCTCTCACTGAATCATGGATAGACCCTAGTGGAGCAAGGTTGTCTCACTGGATACTAGACGGAGAAACAGGGTATGTCTAGACTACATGCCTCTGTCGCCAGAGGCATGTAGATTAGGCTACCAGGCATAGGAAAATGAAGCGGCGATTTAAATAATCGCTGCTTCATTTAAATTTACATGGCTGCCGCGCTGAGCCGACAAACAGCTGATCAGCTGTTTTTTGGCTCACCGCGGTAGTCTGGACGCGCGGGTGTCGACATCAAAGGCATTTGTCGACCACCCAGGTATACCTCATCCCAGGAGGCATACCTGGGTGGTTGACAAATGCTTTTGATGTCGACACCCGCGCGTCCAGACTAGCGCGGTGAGCCAAAAAACCACCCGCGCGTCCAGCCTATCGCGCTGAGCCGACAAACAGCTAATCAGCTGTTTGTCGGCTCAGCGCGGCAGCCATGTAAATTTAAATGATGCGGCGATTATTTAAATCGCCGCTTCATTTTCCTATGCCTGGTAGCCTAATCTACATGCCTCTAGCGACAGAGGCATGTAGTCTAGACGTACCCACCGTTTCAAAGATAGCTAGTCCCTAATCCAATAAGGGATTTGAGGATTAAGACTAGGGTGTTGCAATGAATGGGGAGCCAGTAGAGTAGAGGAGTGCTGATGTCATATGCTCACTGTCAGCCTGGTGAAAGGTAGGGATGTTAAAAATCAGTTAATTAAATAGTCAAGTAACCTCTTATTGGTTAATTGACTATTCTATAGTTCCTGGGGGCGGGGCTGGCAGCCAGTGCGCTCTGGCCTCACTCCCGAGGAGCCCCTGCCACTCCTTGCTGGAGTTTAAAAACCAACTCCCTTTGGGATCGCTGCCTGTCACCCTGTGCTACTGCCTCTGATAAAGAGGCAGCAGCGCGGGGTGGCAGCAGCTCCTGTGTAAGAGGGATTCTGAGCTCTCTGATTTATCACAAGCCAGGACTGAGCTGGGCTGCTAGCCAGCCTGCTAAAAAAAAAAGTACTGGCAAAGGGGGGAGGGAAATGTGTGTATCTGTAGCATTAACCTATAAGCTTTTGCTTATCAGTTAATCGACTACACTATTACATCCCTAGTGAAAGGTGGCTGTGGGGCTGGAATTGTGATGTGGCCATCAGCCTCAGGTAGCGTCAGGAAAGCTCTGAAACTTTCACATCCGAAAGAAGTGATGGAATAGGTATTAATCTCAGCAGGGATGTAAAATTCTGGTTAGTCAGTTAGGGTACGTCTACAGTTGCTCCCTAGCTCGAGCTAGGGATGCAAATGTAGCCAACTGAAATTGCTAATGAAGCCGGGATTTAAATATCCTGCTCTTCATTAACATAATCTCGCCCACGCGTTATTCCGCTCAACAGCTGATTCGAATCAGGAAGTGCGCTCCGGGAAGTGTTAGTTCAAATCAAACCCCTGGGTTCGAACTAATGTTACTGAGGAGTAATGTGAGTTCATTCACCATTTAAAGTCACAGATGTCAGTTGCAATATGTCAGTAAGGTGGAGAGAAAGTATATTTAACTCTTCCATTAATCAGACTCCATCTTGTTGATCTCTAGGAAAAATGTACATAATTTTTCCAACTTTGTTCTATATCAGTACATATATGTGGCTTTACTCTTTACCTTTGTCCCCTTCAGCTGACGTAGATAAGAGAAAATCAGTTTTTCTTCTTCTTCTTTTCTTTTGACCAGGAATGCTAACAGACCTTGACTAACAGTTGTTTCCTGACTTGTGCAGGTGGAAGTAAGCCTATTAGGGGTTATGCAGAAGAGTTTTAATTTGCAGTTAGACTTTTAGGCAATTATACTTGTCTGCCTTAGCGTTGTAAAAATCACCAGCTCAGTGGTTTTTATCAGATATTATCAGTTCCCTTCCCCATACATTTGAGAATATGTTGATCCAGAAACATTAAACTCTAATTTCAGTTGATTAAAAAATCCCTTCAGTTATTCTTAAAAGTTAAAAGGGAAGTGATGAAATACCAAGATTCTTGGTATGCTGATAAGAAAATTACAAGAAAGTTAGAAGCTTAGAGAATGAGTGGGACTAATTTAGTAACCACTCACGAGAGAGATCTTAGAGTCATTATGGATAGTTCTCTGAAAAACATCCACTCAGTGGCAGTCAAAAAAGCAAACAGAAT